AATGCAGAGTGCTGAGAACATGGGGCTCTTGACCCCCACCCAGTGGTGACAGGTGGTAACTACAACCAAATAACACCAGGATGAGAAAGAACAGAGTCACGCCTTCTAGCAGTATCAAAAATTATATTAAATCTCCAGACCAGTGAGAAAATTACATGTACCCAGAAAGCAGTCCTGAAGACACAGAAATATGTAATCTAAATGACAGAGAATTCAAAATAGCCATCATCAAAAAACTCAGTGAACTAAAACAGAAGGTAGAGAAACAATTCGAGTTCAGAAGCTATTTCACAAAAGAGATTGAAACTATAAAGAAGAATCAATCAGAAGTATTGGAGACGAAAGATACAATCAATGAGGTAAAACAAAATATGGATTCCCTGAGGCTCCAGCAGGCATCATAGAGGAGCAAATCAGCATAATCAAGGATAGACATATTGAAATGCTCCAGACAGCGGAGGAGAGAGAACTAAGACTAAAAAGAAATGAAGAAAGTCTCCAAGAAATATCTGACTCAATTAGGAAATGCAACATAGGAATTATAGGTATTCCAGTGGAAGAAGAGAAGGAGAATGCAGCAGAAAGTTTTTTCAAAGAAATTATAGCACAGGCCTTCCCAAACGTAGGGAAGGAGATGTAAATCCATGTGAAAGAGGCTACCAAATCTCCTAAATATGTCAATGTAAAAAGACCTACTGCAAAGTACATAGTAGTGAAACTGGAAAAAGTGAATGACAAAGAAAGAATACTAAGGGGGGCAGCAAGGCAGAAGAAAATAACCTACAAAAGAACACCTATCAGGCTTGCAGTGGATTTCTCTGCAGAAATCTTAAAGGCTAGGAGAGACTGGAATGACATATTCAAATCTTTGAAGGACAAAAATTTTCAGACAAAAATACTCTATCCAGTGAAAATATCCTTCAAATATGATGGAGAAATAAAAACTTTCCCAGATAAACAAAAGCTCAGGGAGTTCGTAGTCACAAGAACCCCCACTACAAGAAATCCTCAAGAACGCCCTCATACCTGAAAAAAAGAAAGGGAGAGAGGGCTTATAAAGCATGGAGTAAAGAGACAAGTAGGTAAACAAAATTAGAAAGTTGTAGCTATACATCAGAACAGGTTAGCAAAATTTCAAATCTTTTAGCAATAATTTTTCAATGCAATAATTTTTCCAAGAACAGGTTTGGAATTTTTAACAGAAACACCAGGAAGCTAGAGACCTCTACAGAATGTTTGAGCCCTCAATTTTTAGGAGGCAGATGGACAAAAGTAACTCACGAATAGGTATGTCATAGGCCAGGAAGACCTCCAAAACCTTACCTCAAGCTGAAGATTTTTATTGACATTTAAAAAAAAATAGTAAGATTTCCTTTGCAGCCTCAAAGATTACACACACCTTACCCTTTGTGTGTGTGTGTGTGTGTGGTAGGGGGTCGATATTGAACTGGGAGGCATTAGTAAAGCAATATCCATTTCTTAAACATTGAAATACATCCATTTTAGAACGTAAATAGCTGCAGTCTGAGCCAGCTAGTTCCTCCCTGGTGCTCTGGCTGCTCCAGCATAGAAGAGCCTCTGGAAGTCACAGCCCACTGTTCGGGTTGCGGGGTAGGTACTGGATCTCAGTAGGAAAAACTGGATACTGATAATGTGGCCAGCCAATGCCTCATCCCCATCTTGGAGCCTAAGGCTCCTTTACTCCTTGCTCTTCCCCAAAGTTACACTTGTAGGAGCTGCAGTTTATGAACGGGTTGTTAAATGCAAGATTTTGACTTGTGGAAGTTGCAGTGTATCGAACTGGTTGTTAAATGCGACAAACAAATGACAAGCAATAGGATATATTGGAGTATATGAGGAAGCCATTTGGTATAAACCTAATTCAGCCTGACCTTGTTTTTCCAAAAGGGCCTGATATGGCTGTTGAGCATACATTGTATATCTGCTTTAAGCATTTGCTATGTCCCAAAGGCAAGAACAAACGGCCTTAAGATAAAGATGCAACTTCCCCTACATTGACATTTCCTTAAGGATAAGCATCTCTCCCTAGCCTAGCAACTGATTACTGCACCTACCCTGTGACCACCCATCTGGAGACAACAGACCTGCTTCCTGCTGTGTCCACTAAGACAGTAGACCTGCTTCCTGCTGTGTCCATCAATCACTGTGGTGACAGAGCAATCTTGTGACTATTGTAAAAGGGACATTTCCATCATACGTGATGCATGCTCTTTGACAGTATATAACCACTCTGTACTCCCCCACTTCTTTGGTGCCTTTCCTTCCCTGGGGAAGGAAGGCCCCAGGCTATATGGTTCTCACAGTTGGCTCATAATAAACTCACCCCAATTTTTATTTATAGATTGGTTATGGATTATTTTTGTCGACAAATGCAAGATTTTGACTTATGTGGGCCTATTTCTGGTTTGCCCTTTTAGACAACCTCCCCTTCCCCTTACCAGTCTCTTTTCCATTCAGCTCCTGCTTCACACATATGTGTTACCTTACAAGACCTCAGGAGAATGACCTTAACCCTCTGGATAAATTATATGAAATCAAGATATGGAATGCTCATTTCCAAAAGGCCTAGAGAATCTCTGCATTATACTCTGAAATGGTATGAATTCCTTATTAATGTTTTAAATATAAAATTCCATGTAATCAAACCATTTATGCTCCTTCACCTCTATTGACAGATCTCCCTGGGTTCTCCATTTTGGCTATCTCTGTCCAAAGGCAAACAGAACAAATGCCTCTGCTTTCTTCAAGTTATTAAATATCTTTAAGAAGAAGTGATACTTGGATTTGAAACTCCAATATAATTACCCACTTCAGTTCCAAAGTACACAGAAAATCTGGAACCTAGCTTTTCATCCTGAGAAGTCCATCAGGGAGGGGAAAGAAAGGGGGATCCCTAGCGTTCATGCAAAGCACAGGACAGGTTGAGAGGACACAGTTTCACACCCCATCATTCACCTGAGAAGCTGTCAACAAGACTAGTTCTAAGAAGAAAACTTTGCTTTCGTGTTTGAAATCACTTCCCTTCTACGTATCCTGACCCTGGTCTCCTCATGAGGGTGCCCTCATGGGTGTCAACCCAGTGTTTCTATCCTGTTATAATGAATCCTCCAGCACAGGGGCTTAGGAGACAGACTGACCTGGACAGACTCTCAGCTCTGACACTGCCTGGGGAGCTCTGGACAACTTACTTAAGCAGGCTCACATTCAGCTGCTTCATCTGAAGAGTGAGCATGCCAATAGCTCCTTTGTGGCAGGAGAACACCTCTATGTATTAATCCGTAAGTTTCCACTCATCTTCCTGTGTTCACCAAATTATCTTGATTGAACACCAAGGACCTTTTCCATTCCTTCAGCCTAATCAGATAGAGTCACCCATAGCACAAACAGGAAAAGGAGAAGAAAAAAAGCATGAGTATTCAGAGTAGGGCAGAAAGAGTCAAGTGTCTGGTATACACTTCAGAGGAAATTTACTGACTTGGAAGGACAAGATAAACAGCACACTGAGAAAGAAATGGAAGAGACAGAGAAGGTCTACAGAGACAGGAAAGGGAAAAATGGAAGAACCATGAAAATCACTATCCAACTTGTGTATGAGCCAGCTAAATGGAAGGTTACTGAGCAGTGAGCTGTCCCTTTGGTTGTCATCTAGGGAAGACACAAATTTCCAGTGTTGGCCCATTCCCACTTAGGAGTGACAGTTATCTGTGCTCCCATAAAATTCTCCCTAACAACTTCGAAACACACATACCCCAAAACATGTGCTGTGTAGTAACACAGTATCTACCTCACAATTCTGAACACTCCTATGAACTCCAGAAAAGAAAGGTTTGTATACTTTGTGGATGTTGGTGAAATGAAGGAAAAATTCCTTCCTGATGTTCCCCCATAGGATGACTGAGCATTAGATGAAATCATACTTTCAACTAGTCTTGCCATACTAATAATGCTCCCTGATTTCAACATCAACTAGTCCACTTACCAGTTTAAAGACCATAAGCATGACACTCTGTCTCTTAAGCATGGCGTCCTCTTCTGTGAAATGGAATACGGCCCACTTTACAGTGCTCTTGTGAGTCAATCAAGGATGCTAATTAAATGTGTGTGTGTGTGTGTGCTTTTCCCCTTTGCATTGTGAACATCAGTGCAGCTCACCAGGCACACTCACCGATCCACAGCAAAGAAAGGGACGCAGAGACCATGAATGGTCTAAACCTTTGCTCTCCCCTCCCAGAGAAGCTCATGCAAATGCTCCCAATAGCAAGATGCCATACTGGTAAGAAGAAAGGGAGAGGGAGCACCTTGGAGTTTATCCAAAAGATATAGTTTAAACTAAACTGCTTCAGTTAGAACAGATGGACAGCGCAGTAATAGACAAGTTAAATGTATGATCTTATACGCCTCTCAACTCCTAAGAAAACTACGAATATATAAAAGATGCTATGTTAGTTACCTTCCACATCTCCTCCTAAGTCTTAAGGTGTTAAAGAAGAACCCCTAATATTTAGAATTTAAAATTACTTGCTTAAAGTACAGGGTTTCAACTGGTGGAAATTCAGGCACCAAAAGAAGCAGTAAGGAAATATTGCTGAGTTGGAACTTTCTAGAGCCTTGGTTCTCAAAGTGTGGTTTGTGGACCAACATCATCAACAACAGCTGGGAGCAGACACACAGGTCCCACTGCAGTCTCTATAAATTAGAATCTGCTTTCTAATACAAGTCCCGGGTGATTTGTATGCACATTATAGTTCAGAAGCTGTGTCTAAAGGATGAGGATCCCTCTCTAATCATACAAAGCATGCAGCTGCCCTCCCCACTTATTAAAAACACCAGTCAAGGGGGACTACCATATATAATATCCGAATCCCGGAACGTTCATAGATTAAAAGTAAAAAACGAAATACTCAGAAAGTGCCATTTTCCTATCTATTATTGGCAAATGTCTTAAACGTTTGCTGAGAAAAATACGAGCAGATGCTTACTGTTCCATCACACTGGCCATCCTTAATCCTCAGATACATCTGTGCATTTTTCACACTTTCAAACATGCAAATCCCAGAGCTGATTTTATGTACTTTCCAGTAGGATTTTTCAGACTGGTTCCCCACTCCAGTGCAGCTTCCATCGGGCTGGATACACAGGGCCTGGCATAGACTCGTAGCAAGTAGAATCACAGCACTGTTGAGGAACATACCCTTCAGAGCAATAAACAGAACAGAAAGGCAATAAATAACAAGCTCATGTTTTGTAGGGGAAGATCCATTCTCTTACAGAAGTTGCATTGATCAGGATCTTATCAAAAGTCTGGTGGTTAAAAATGAGCAAAAGAAGGAAATAAATAATTTAATTGCTATGCAAAGCTAAACAAAACTAAAGGAGGTTATCTGGTTGACTGATTATAATTTACATCAGTCATTATTTATTGAGACTATAAGGGTCAGCATCACATGCTACAGAGATTTTAAAAAGATATAAAGCACAAACACTCCTCTTAAGAAATTCACAATCACTATAAACAATTTTAATACTAATATAAAGCAGAATAAAAATAGTGTGCTATAAGAGCACCTGAATTATGAAATGCACTATATGGATATTAGTTAAAAGTATGCATGTAGGAATAAATGAATGAATGAATGAAAAGAGATGTTGAATACAACTAGGGTATATTTAAGTAAATTCTATGTAATTGATAGCTTAAGTGGAAGATATAAAAAGTTCTTGAAAGTTAATTAGAAATACACTAACACTGTAAAGAAATGGATAAAAGACATAAACACACAAGTCACAAAAGACAAATACAAATGGTGACTAAACATAAGGAAAGGTAATCCACGCTAGCAAAAAAAGCAAACAAAAAGGCTAAAATTAGATGTTTATTCCTCTAGAAAATTACCAAAGTTTTTTTAAGAACCAACTTAATGACTAATGCTTTTCATTGACTTCAGGCACCAAGGCTCAGGTGAGCTTCCCTGGTTGGCAATACTCTGTGCATATTGTTACATATCACTGCTGAGAAAGTAATGCTGTCCTGAATCCATGTGGAGAGGACAACTAGAAGTTCAGTGTTTGGTACTTTACCTCAACTGCTCTAGGTGTCTATTCCCTTAGCTGATTTTAATCTGAATCCTTACTCTGTAAATAAACCATGGCCATGAGTGTAACAGCAACCAGTGAGTTCTGAGTCATTCTAGTGAATTATCAAACCTCAGTAGTGTTCTCAAAGACCCCTGAACTCTGAAGTTTGAGTCAGAAGTGAGGATGGTGATATGAACTGTTCCCTCTAACTTCATAATTGGCTTAAATTTCACAAGATTAAAACTTGGTACCTTTTTGGAAAGAAATTTAGCAGTATGTTCCCAGAATCTTAAAGGTTTCATATTCTGACATTTAAATTCAATTTTGAATTATCTAAGCAGAGAAAATAATAAAATATGTGGTCAAAGGCATTTGTCAAAGTGTATTTCACAGTAACATAAAGGTGATAAAATGAAGAGATTAAACGTCCAGTGATAAACAAATGTATGTATTTCCTTTATGTTTGAATATTATGCAACCACTAAAAATCATTTTGTTTTGGGAAAAGTAATGTGATGAAGTGTTATATAAAAAGTTTGGAAGACAAATTGACTTTGATTTGATTCATGACCCACCATTTAGTAGCTACACTATACTAGTCAAGATTCTTAGCTTCTGTGAAAATCTTTTCTTCATGTTTAAAATACAGATAACAATATCTATCAGTATTGTTATGATGATTAAATTTAGGTTGTATGTGGTGAAGCTCTCAGTAAAGTGTCCAGCACAAAATAGGCAACTCATAAATGATAGCTGTTATTTTAATATGATACTATTTTTAAGACAAATTCACAACCATAAAGAAAGAAGCATAAGCATTGTGAAATAATCACACATATACAACACTCAAAGGGTATAAATATTCTAATTGTTAGAAAAGTTAAATATGTATATTTGTTTGTTCCCAAATGTAAGATTCTCTAGCTTTTTATTAAGAATCCCTGCATCCATAGTTTGACCTCTAAATTCAATTGGATATAGGATGTTACTCCTATCAGTTTCATGACGGGTGAAGCCATGATCCCTATTGCCTTTCAAAGTCTGGGTAAATAGAATACCAATAGTATCAATGCCACCTAGTGGGAAGAGATTTGATTACTCCATGGTGACTCAATTCAAGGGTTTTCCTCAACAGAGCAAAAGAAAGTGGGTATTTAGCAACATAAACTTCAACGACTTTCCTCTATTTTACCTTGACAAAAACCACAAATTCTTTTGAAAGGTTTGCATAGCCTGCTGATGATTCATCAGCTATTTTGCCATGATGATCAAAAATAACCATGTGACCAGGAACCAGTGCTGACTCAAGAAGTGCACAGCGGTTGGGCTGATAAAGCACCCGCAGCTTAGTGGAGGCTCCACCACTAGCCTAAAAGAAAAAGGGGGGAAAAGCCCTCTGAATTAGCAATAGAACATATTTACATTAAAAATATTTTGAGATTATATGTATGTACAGGTCTACGCCCCTCTATAGGACCCTTGAACTATCCATACAATCTCGCTTTTGTAATTCAATTGTTTGGATTCCTCAGCCTGATTTCTAGTGTCTTGCTCCAAGGACTTTCTTCTTTCAGTTTCTCAGAATCCATGGTAGGGTATTGGGTAAAATAAAAATAACTCCAGTGGCAGGATAATTTAATGAGATGTTAATATGTATTTTATTATAGCTTATTTTTCATTTCTTCATTTGTGTCTTCCTAACTCAAGACTATTTGGGACCAAAAGCTGAAATGAACAGATGTGCATTAGTAGGTTTTACTTTCAAAAGACTAAACAAATCAAGGAGCTTATGCTATAAGGAGACATTTCTGGTTCAGGGTACTGCTTGAGGTCTTATCCCATCTCCCCTCAGTGCTCCAGGGAGGCATTTAGACCTAAATAGGGAGGACTCATTGATGTCCCTTGAATGGCTTGATCCATGACACTAAGGCTACCACCTCGACAAAGTTCCCTTGTCTACGTATGGCAGGTAAGCAACAGAGCTATTGGCCTTCAAGAAGCCAACTGATGTTTGATGAGTACATCAGCAGTGAACAGTGTAGACTGAAGCTAAGAGGGCTGTCGCCAGATATTCTGAAACTCTACACCAGGTGAAATCTTGTGTATAACAAGATGAGTCTCATAATAAGTAAGATAGAATGTCTCACCAAACTAGTGGGACAGGGGCTTAGAGATAGATTTAATTTTATTTTAGAAAATAAAGTAATCGGACATTTCCTGAACGCTTAATTTAACTGAGTAAATTCCATACCCACTACATTCGTATTTATTAAGCACTTACTATGACCAGGACCTGTACTGAGCAGAATGTGTTATGAAGTACAGCATAGGGTACCTTGCTAAGTCTGGAGCAGAGGAAAAAAGACTTCATGGAGGAAGTTTGACTAATTAATCACTTAGCCTGAATTTCAGTCCTACAAATTACAATAAGTGTTTTCATTTCACTAATTATTATTTTCCCTTAAGTTAAATAATATGCTATGAGTTAAGAATCATTATATAACATTATATAACACTAAATGAGGAAGCTATAGCATGAGAGTTGGAGTCAGACTGCCTTTGTTCAATTCCTGCTTTCACACTTACTAGTTATGTGACCTTGGACAACTCAATCCTTCTATCATTCATGTTCCTCTTCTGCTAAATAGGGATAATAATAGATTCTCTCATAGGGTAGATGTAAAGACTAAATAATATGACACATATTAAGCACTTAGAACAGTGCGTGGCAATTATTTTTCAAAATAAATAATGTGTGCATTTAAAAATAAAACAGCTGTATATAGTAAAAGCTACCTTTTAAACCCAGATTAAGGAATATAAAGCATAATAAAGTAAAATCATTGTTTTTTCCCTAATATTATGGCCCCTGAAGGCGCTTTTGAAAAGTCAAATTGTCTCCTTTTGGAGGTCCATTAAAATTTTGAATGTTATCAGACAAGTTGTCTACTTTTTCTTGTCTAAATTCTAATTGCTGAAATTTAGCACTATTTATGCATCAGAATCTCAAAAATTAGTGAGACAAAACAGAATAATCAAAAAAGTGAAAGCAAAAGCCAACGGAAAATACAACTTGATAATCTTATAACAGTACATTATGCAAAAATATATTATATATGGATACAGTACTATTGATAGATGGCAAAGAGAAAAATTACTACATACCATTCCAGCGACAGAGCCATTGTCAAGAGCAAGAGAAAGATGTCTAATTTTATGACTTTGGAAAATGCATATATTTTCTTTGTTGAAAATAACATCAAAGAGACCTGGAAAATATTTTAAGTATTAGCAAGTAATTCATGCCTTTAAAGCTTTTTTCTTATTCAATTATATATTGAAACCTCCTAATAATATTTTTTACGATATCTCTCACATAAAGGTTTTTAATTAGTCAAAAGGTAAAACGCCAGTACCTTTGACTATTTACATGTTGTTTGGCATTTTGGTGGAATTTTCATGGAAAATCTCTAATGCCTTCCCATGCTAATCAGTAAGTCTCTGAGAAAATCCTCCTAAAATAACACCTGATGGAACTGTTTCAAGGAAAATAAATTATCCTAGTGTTAAAACCTTCTTCCACTGTATAAATCTCAGAGACTTGGGGTAAAATAAAATAATGCATTACAAAAGTAAACACATATGATTTGGGCATTAGTGACTGGTTTGTATGATGATCATGACAAAGATTATGTCAACATATATTTGATTTTTTTAGTTTTCAATACACTTCTATATACCTTTTTATCTTAAAATGCAAGCTTCCTGAGGGCATGAACTTTTATCTACTCTGTTGATAGCTATATACCATTATTTAGAACAGTGCCTAGAAGGCAATAGGTGCTCAAGAAATATTCCTTAGATAAGTTAATTAGATCTTCATAGCATAAAACAGCCTACGAAACATCCCCTCCCCCCTCCACACACACATTTATCCCCATTTTGCAAATGAAGGAACAAACTTAGAGAGATAAGGGACTTTCCCAAGATCCCTACCTAGTCATAGAATGGAAATAGATGCCAGAACTTCAGATCTCAGCCCAGCGCTCTTTGCATTACCAGTAATCCTTCTATTAGTACTTAAAACCATCAGATTTTCAGGAATCCACTCTTGTAACAATAAATGAAGACCATTTTTCCTTTTACAAATAGGTGATTCTCAAACAATGAAGAGTCAAGCCAAATATAAAAGAACACATATTGTATGCTTTATTTTATATAAAGCACAAAAACAGGTAAAAATACTCCAGGGTCTTAGGAGTCAAGGTAGTGGTTATTTTGGGGGGACAGAGACTGTACAGGGGCATGTGATTGCGTGTGGAGTGCTGGTAATGTTCTATTTCTTGATTTGGGTTCTAGTTACATAAGTGTGTTCAGTTTGAAAAAACTCCTAGGTATAATATTTAAGGGGTTCAGAGTATGGTACCTCAAAATATACCACTCTGGCATAAGGATTATTTTGAGCTGAAAGCAACTGAGAAAACAATACAGGACAATTCTCTGCCCTCCTCCTATCTATCTGAAAGCAGAACATAAATTCCTCTTGTGAAGGTATCCCCCAACCCCATTTCCTGAGCAGGAAGGGGTAACAATCTTATCAAGGAAGGCAAAGTCGCCCGAGAAAGGGTCTCCACAAACAAACCTCTCTAATTAGCCCTTAGCTACCATTAGTTTCTCCATATATTTGCCTTCTCACAATTTGCTGCGGGTAGAAGCTCAAAGCTTTTTCTTTGTCTTGTTACTTCTCTAATCTAAAAGAGTAGAGGAAAAAGGTCTTTTGTTCTTCCTCTGTAATATATTTGAATATAATAATTTTAAAAATAGGTGATTTCTTGAGGCGTGACTTATTTCATTTCCTAACGAGTTGCTGAGGTTTGTCTGTATGCGTCTTACGTGTGTGTGCATATACTTATATATACATAATACAGAACATTTATAAAATATATGTAATATAAAATACGCAATGTATATTATATACTGTCTATAAAACGACGTCATGGTAACAAAGTTAGATTTTCTAAAATGAACCAATCTTTCCTATCTCACCATTGTCAACATAGCCGTTTTGCATTAGCTCAAAACTTTCAGCCTAGTCAATATACACCAAAGGAAGGAGGATTATGGTAGTTATTGGGTAATTTAGGTTCCCCAAATCTCAATTTTTAACATGTAATTGTTCAGATATTAGCTTGAATTATCCACCTTCTTGTCTGTGTATATTTATCTAGAGTTAACAAACGTAATTCACGAATTCTACCTTTATATTTTTATTCCAATTAACTACATGGGCAAATGCTTTTAGTTAAGAACAAGGTCTGATGTAGAAGTTAACTGTACTACTCCAAATTTTAAAAGGATTTCACTGTAAATTTAAATAATCTTATATTCACTTAAAGTCATATTTCCAAAAGTGAAAGACATGTATATTAGTTCAAGAGACCACTCCAAACAGAAACTCTTCTTCTTAATTAATCTCTAATTTATTTTTGTCTACCTAATAAAATTCATCTTAATGGTTAAAAATTAAGGATCTTCATAAAATTGAACCATGTTGATGAACATTTACAAATAATCCTGGAGATTATGGGGGGGTGAATGTTATTGAAATGAAGAAAGAACCAAGACATAGGAATTTGGACTTTCATTCTGACATTGACACATTAGATAATCTTGGGCAAATCACTTTGCATCAATCTGTCTCAGTTTCCTTATGAATAAATCAGCCTGAGAATTATTAAAGGACTGTTGTTCAGATGATTCATTAATTGTGTGAACTAATGAGTTAATGATAGAAGAATGTGTAAACTAGAGGAGTGTTATTGAAAATGTGCTAAGAATAATTTTCATTGTTTAAGTCAATCTTCCCTGTGACCTAAAGATTTCACAAATATCAGACTCGAAATCCATAAAACTATAAAGGCATTATTTTTTCAGTTTTTTGGTAAAGATTCAATGACTAAAATCATAAAATTACATATATTTTGTTATAAAAATTTCTATTTTTAAAGTTTATCAAATATAAGTTCTATGAAGGGATGGCAATTCATCTGTTTATTCATTGATGTCAATCTTATGCCTAAGACATTGTCTCATCCACAGCAAGCATTTTATAAATATTTGTTGAATAAACAAACTCCTGCAAAAAAAAAATTAAGGGTTTCTATTTTGAGAAATTTAACTCTTTACAGAATGTCCTTGGGTTTGGAAGCTTAGTATAGTGAGTTTTAATTAAAAAATACATATTAGGAATAGAATCTTTTCCAGTGAAATTATAATCAAATCAGTGTGATAAATGAGATCTTCAGGAAATTTCAATCTTTTCAATACAGCAAAAATACACTATTGTGGAGGAACTCTAAAATACTTTCATGGGCCTCTGGAGTTTCAGGGAGCTCAGTTTGGAGAAAAGAGATGGTAAGGAAAAAGAGCACTACCATATGAATGAAGGGATTAAAATTCCTTTAAACTGAAAACTTCTGAACAAGCAGTAGCCACAGAAACATTACCTAAGGAGATACTCCTGAAAATACAGCAGCAACTGACCATCCTCTATTGGAAGCCCAATAGAACCTTCTATGCTTTCCCATGGAAGCCCTAAAATTCCCTCTCTCTCCCCTCTGTTTTTTGTTAAGTTGGTATATAAACCTGTACCTCTAATTATTCATTGTATAACTCATTACTGAATACTCCCACATATTTGTATAGCATGCACATATAAATAAACCTTATCTTTCCCATTAATCTGTCTACTGTCAGTTAATTTATAGGATTCCAATCATTGGAACATAAGATGGTAGAGGACAAGTTTTCCTCCCAAAATAATCTGGATATATGATTTCTAGTTCTGGCTTTGCAGTAAAGAGTTCAATCATCCATTCAATCACCGTCTATTGAGCACCTGCTATGTGCAAGGAATAATCTCAAGTGTAACCTAGACAAAAATTCTAAATGTTCTTATCTCTAAAACACCCTTATCTTTAAAAATTAGAGGCAAGTCTACATGATCTTAAAGTTGCTGGTTAATGCTAACATTTAATCACACTAATTTCATCAAAACAAACTCTAATTGGCCAAATCCAACAGAAGCATTTCAGTCCTTATTTCACTTTGCCTTTCTACTACATTTGAACTTGCAGACACCTTTTAAAATGCTACAATCTCCCACTTCACTAACTTCCTTCTCAGTTTCCTACTTCACTCTCTGTTGTCATCTTCATGCATAGGGTTCCTAGGGTTCTGTCCTCAGGTGATTAACTTTCTTCACAGGCTCTTCACAGGCTCCCTGGAAAGTTTATTTTAAGAATCTATAAATTGAGAAATCCCAAATCAATATCTTCACCACTCATCTCTCTCTCAACATCAGCTCATCTATATAATTTACTGTTAAACATAAACAACCTGGGGACCAGCCCAGTGGCACAGTGGTTAGGTTCACGCCCTCCACTTTGGCAGCCCAGGGTCTGCAGGTTCAGATCCTGAGTGTGGACCCAGCACTGTTCATTAAGCCATGCGGTAGTGGCACTCCACATAAAATAGAGGAAGACTGGCACAGATGTTAGCTCAGCGACAATCTTCCTCAAGCAAAAAGAGGAAGATTGGCAACAGGTGTTAGCTCAGGGCCAATCTTCCTCACAAAACAAAAACAAAAACACAAACAGCTGGATATCTCACAGGCACTTCAAACTCAGTATGGACAAACTAGAGCTGATAATTTTCCATATATTCTTAGTTTCCAAATCTAGTCCTTCTAAATTTTTCTGCATTTCCTACCTCCATTGGTGACCCCATCAGTAACTTAATAACCCAGACCAGAAAACTGAGGGTAACCCCTTCCCTTAATGTACCTTTACCAATAAACCACCAAGTCCTGTCAATTTTACTTCCTAGGTATTCTTCAAATCATCTTCTCTATCAATACTCCCACTGAAGTTCTCGTCATCTTCTGATTGACAGATTATGAGAGGCTCCTAACTGGTATCTCTTTCTCTAATCTTCCCACATAACCCTCAAATCTGGCTTCCACTTAGCTGCCAAAGTATTTTTACACTACTTCAAATCCATGAATGGCTATCTCTCACTCATAGGAAGGAATCAAAGAAGTTGCCTTCAGACATACACTAGTTCTTCTCTCCCAAATCCTTTTGTAGGGGACACAGAGTAGCAATGGAAAAATTAAGGTTTAACTTATGCAGAAGACAGCTGTTCACTACTAGCAGACCACCTTTAACATAGGAGATATGATTATAGTGGCGGGGTAAAGTGTTTAAAA